TACCAAATCTGTATTGGAACCAAAAAGCATTAATAAGGACTGAAAAGTGATTATCACCAGAAATACAAATTAAAGGGGGAGTACGTGAGGGATGTTTTCCTTTTCCCATTAAAGGGGGAGTACGTCAGGAATGTGTCCTTTTCCCATTAAAGGGGGAGTACGTCAGGGATGTGTCCTTTTCCCATTAAAGGGGGAGTATGTCAGGGATGTGTCCTTTTCCTATTAAAGGGGGAGTATGTCAGGGATGTGTCCTTTTCCTCATTAAAGGGGGAGTATGTGAGGGATGTGTCCTTTTCCCATTAAAGGGGGAGTACGTGAGGGATGTGTCCTTTTCCCATTAAAGGGGGAGTACGTCAGGAATGTGTCCTTTTCCCATTAAAGGGGGAGTACGTCAGGAATGTGTCCTTTTCCCATTAAAGGGGGAGTACGTCAGGGATGTGTCCTTTTCCCATGTTTGTACACATCTTTCATTGCATTGAGAATAATAAAGGTATTAAATTGGTGGTATGGTGATAAACAATCTAAGATATGGTGATAACACTGTACTGTTGGCTGGTATTGTAAATAACACAGGAGAGAGGTATGAAATGAAAACGAATGCTAAGAAGACAAAGACATACAACAAGTAGAGAAATTCACATACTTGGGCCAGACCATAACAGGTGATGGAAAATGTGAAGAGGATTGAGGTGCCTTTAATAGTATGAAAACAAGTCTGACATCAAAGAACATAATAGTAAAAACAAGGAACTCTGTTATATGGCTGTCTATATATGGTTAACTCTGTTATATGGCTGTGAAACATGGACACAAGCATTGATTAACAAATTGGAAGCATTTAATATGTCGGTGTAGAGAAAGGTGATCCTGGATAACAACTGAAGAAGTTCCAGTATGGTGAATGTGAAACTGTATGTTGTACCAACAATCAAGCTGAGAAAAGTAGCATATGATGAGACGAGACAACATCCAGCGAGTCCTATTAGAAGGGAAATGGTACAGAGTGGATAACAAATATTAAAGATATAGCAAAATATGAATACCTGGTGAGAAAAACACAGAACAGACAGAAGTGAAGGATTGTGACCTTCCTGAGGATGACGATGATGATTTCAAACATTCTGTGTATGGGCCTGGATAGGTGCAAATGTGTTCTTCAAGTTAGATACTACAATATCACGTGTGATGTGTGGTTCTTTTGTTGTATAACTAGTCACGAACAAACAAATAACAAAACAAACATCACAGAAATGAGATTATAAACAATACTTCATAGCCATATCAACATTTCTTTATACAAAACCTTTGTTAAAACAACATCTCAGATAACACTTTTTTAAAAAATATTATGCCATAACAAAAACAGTTTACTGATAGCAATCTAAAACATCACAGTACAATAGTTAATAAATAAATATATCTATACATAATAATAGCCAAAGGAGTATGTTTTACACTCACTAGGGGTCTCTATATTTTTAAGACATTTTTAAAACAAACTTTTTTCTGTAATTAAGTTTTGGTTTAAAAGCAAATAATTTCAATATATGTAGAATCCAAAGTTCAGTCAAACTTTAGGACTAAAACACATTAATCCTTAAATATAATTTGAAAATAAAAGCAAATCTTCAATTAAAAACAGCTTACATTTCAATAGGTAGAATCACTTTGATTAGATGAAATATTAACTAATTTTTGGCTTTCCTATTGGTTTATTTCTTTGTTAAAAAAAGCATAATCTGGTTGTTCTATAGATTTATTTGTTAAGAGTTTTTTTAAAACACAGAACAGCTGAGTTCTCTTTTAAGTTTTTTTAAATTTTGTTGAATATTTGTAACTACATTACAAGATCAAGTTGGATAATTTAAAACACAACCCTGTACCGAGTATTTCCACTATTGTTGAGCAAAATCAGAATATACAAACTTCTCCGTAATCCCTTCTTACACTTAGTGTTTTGATGATATAAGACAGTTCTCTATGGTAATATGTAATCCTGAACTAAACAGTTTTGCTTGAAATAAACATTATTAGATGGGTACAATTAAGCCTTGTTTCTTAATATATAGTTTTACAGAACTACCACATCTATCCAACTACTGAAACTAAACTAAGAGTATCATTGATAGAAACTAAATTTACTGTTAAAATGTTGAACAGTTAAAAACTGAAAATTAACAGTTGAAAGAAAAAAGTGACCAATTATATAAATATCCAATAATTCACTCTTAAAAATTTATTTTGGCACAAAAATTGCACGTGGATTTTTTTTGTGTAACTAAAGAATAGCACCTTAAGCAAGGAAATGAAAACAGATTTTTTTTTTAAGACTATCGACTGTACAACAAAATTTTATAATAAGTACAATGTCTCGTAACAGATTTTATATGTGACAAAACTAAATTATCAAAAATTAATTTAACATGGTGCACTTTTACAAACACCTTAGGAGAATTTAGAGGCTGCAATATATAAATAAATAGTGTCTATCAAACAAAAATCTTTTAAAGTGCTTGTAATTATATCCACATACTTACCCTAACCGTTTACTGTTAAGAAACAGCAAGTGTCTATTTGGAAAACTATGTATATACTTAATACTTTGCTAGATATGAGAGCTTGAAAGTAGAGTACAGAGGATGTAGTTAAATCTCAAACAACCTAGTTATATCACATAAATATCAGGACACCTACTTATCAAAAAATCATGAAACAGTTCTATAGATAACATCTTAATCTAGGTTTACATCAACAACAAAAAATCTTACAGTATTTAAGGAACTGACACAATTGTAGTTAGAGATAGAAAAATTATTTCCAAGCTCCAACCGACTTCTGGAAGGAATGTTTGAACTGTTGCTGATGTTTTGATTTCCAGGCGAATTCAGATCTCAGTGACCAAATACATTACTTGCTAGCATCAACAAGAAGAATAAAAATAAACACAAAATGCTTTATATATTCAATATTCCTTTGTAGTTATGCTTTTACATATATTTCTGTAACATGACTTAATATTTTCAGTATTAACGAAACAAAATATACATGGTTCATAAGAAATACGAGGTTTTTTGAGATCCTCTCGTATGTCTTCATTGCACTGTACTTTAATCACAACAGACTAGTTCAAGAATGTTACATTTACAAAACTGGGGATTTAACAGACTTCTCAGTTAGCTTAAACACCATAAAAATTAATATGTCTGGATACGACTTATTGAACCCTTGCAAGAAAGAGCATACAAGGTTAATCAATGATACACTTTAAGTTTTTCCCTTAATTTGAAGTATGCACTTTAACCATCAGTTACAAGGTCTACACAGTCTATACATCATGTTAACCATCAGTTACAAGGCCTATACAGTCTATACATGTATAGACTGTGTAGGCCTTGTAACTGATGGTTAATGTGACGGTTAACTTGACTATAGACTGTGTAGGCCTTGTAACTGATGTGTATAGACTGTGTAGGCCTTGTAACTGATGGTTAATGTGACGGTTAACATGATATAGACTGTGTAGGCCTTGTAACTGATTGATGGTTAACGTGACGTATAGACTGTGTAGGCCTTGTAACTGATGCTTAACTTGACAGTATAGACTGTGTAGGCCTTGTAACTGATGGTTAATGTGACGTATAGACTGTATAGGCCTTGTAACTGTATAGACTGTGTAGGCCTTGTAACTGATGGTTAATGTGACGGTTAACTTGACATCAGTTACAAGGCCTATACAGTCTATACATCAAGTTAACCATCAGTTACAAGGCCTATACAGTCTATACGTCACGTTAACCATCAGTTACAAGGCCTACACAGTCTATACGTCAAGTTAACCATCAGTTACAAGGCCTATACAGTCTATACGTCATGTTAACCATCAGTTACAAGGCCTACACAGTCTATACCTCACATTAACCATCAGTTACAAGGCCTACACAGTCTATACGTCAAGTTAACCATCAGTTACAAGGCCTACACAGTCTATATATCAAGTCATGGGTTCAGAGAATCCTGAAAAATTACAAACTAAGCAGTGTCTAGAACGAATACACTATTAAATCATACAGTATATCTTATACAATCTGTGTGTTCTAAATGTACAACTGTGGTATCGAAAAGCTTTTAACTCAAAAAATAATATACTCAAACTGACAAAACATTAGCCCACTGTTGAGAACAAACCATCAAGACCTGAAGCACCACAAACAGCTACAGGTTACATGTTTTCCTTAAAGAAGGACGTCCAATTTCTTTTACATTCCCCACTTTAGCAGTGAAATATACTTTTGTACAATTAGATTTACACATCCAATCATACTTTTAGGCTATTATTTCCACTTTCTAGTATCATAACTACTCCTGTATATACATTTCCACGATAGGAACCAGAGATTTCATCAAACTTTGAGAATCGCAAGATAGCCGGTTTGTACCCATCCTTCCAAGAATACTTTAAATACAAAGAGAAAAAATGTAAGATAAGTTGAAAAGACATTAATTTTTTAAACTACAGCCACTTATGTCATCTATAACATTTTATAACTTGTACAGAAACAAACAACTACATAAATCATACGTGATGCAATAAGAATCATTAAAAGGGAGAGTTTAACATATTTCCTGTACATCCATGGTTATCTACATTCATTAAAAGGGAGAGTTTAATATATTTCCAGTACATGCATGGTTATCTACATTCATTAAAAGGGAGAGTTTACCATATTTCCAGTACATGCATGGTTATCTACATTCATTAAAAGGGGAGAGTTTACCATATTTCCAGTACATGCATGGTTATCTACATTCATTAAAAGTGAAAGTTTAACATATTTCAAATACGTACTTGGTTATCTACATATATATTTTTTGGACAATGGGAGTAAGTCCCAACTGTACTAATAGTTTCCTAAAAAAAGTATACTTTTAATACTCATTCTAAAGATATTGATGTTCTAATTAACTATGGAAGATGTTCCAGTGGAAGATTGTAATTCATTCAGTATGCAATCATATCAATACTTTACTCCTATAATAGTAAATGTTTGTGCTTTTCTTTATCAGACCTCTACTGGACCAATTCTCCACTCTGAAAAGTCCTCTACCAATGAATTCTGGTTATCTCTGTCCTTCGTTCGAGTTCCAACACTTTCTGATGTTTCACTTACTTTGATGTTATCTTCTTTAAGGTTTGTTTGCTTTATTTTGGTACCAGTAGAATTCATTATCACATTATTTGCTTGTTCATTCTTACTAATTTCGTCTTCATTTACCATACAATTAGTTGACTGAGACAGCATTTCTAACGTACAGGATTTCTGTTCTCTTTGAGACGGTATAGTTTCATAATAATCTTCATTATCATCACTTTGGTTTGGAGTATTACCATATATATGTTTAACTATTCCATCTGGGCATGAAAATCTTTGTACTTCTATCTGGCTACTAGGAGGGTCAACCAGATTATTAAAGAATTCTTCCACATGACATGATGTATTTTCACCCTTTCCCGAGTCCTGGTGGTGCACGTTTTCATAACCTGGTTCGTTGATACCATTATCTGCACCTGGAACGGTTTCATAAGGTGGTTCACCAAAGGATGTTGTGCTTAAAGGAGGACTTTTAAGACACTCGTATCCAGGATCAGTCTCATCGCTTTCCGCCCGTGTCACTCTCCGTATTGTTTCATAATTAGGATCTGCAGGTTCACTCTGAGGACGTTGAATCAATCTCACAGGCTCATAGTCTGGATCACCAAACTCATCGTTACTGTCGAACTCTCGTGGCTTTACCTTTTCGTAATGCGACTCTGTCGCATCAGAATCATTTCTGTGAAGGATCTTCACACTTTCATACCCATGATGCTTTAAGTTCTGCTTTCTCATTACATTATCATCTCTACTCTGACATATAAAACCATTTACAGTAAAGTCTCTAACAGATTTTTGAGCAACATTTTCATAGCCCAGATCGTCTGAGTCTTCTCTTACTCGTTCATAATCTGGGTCATTAGAAGTATATTTTTTCCATTTTACATCATAACTTTGGTCATTAGTAGTGTTCACCTGCAGTTTTATTGGTTCATATCCTGGATCGCTATCTTCATTATCATCATTCCTGCTTAAAAGATCAGTTGACTGAGGTCTTGGAGAAGTGGTAGGGAAAGAACTGTCTGTCAACACAGGAAAAATGGCATGGCAATGAATAATGGAGGGAGGATCTGGTGAAATGTCCATAGCAAATGTTGGACTTCTAGGGGGAACTGGAGGACCAAACACATCATCAGTAGAATATCTTCCAGTTGTTTCCACACCTGATGTACTTGAAGATGAGCCAAGCCTTTTTTTGTTAACTTTGGCGTACATTTCTTCAATACCTTGTGCTTCATTTTTGGATCTAGGTAGAAAGTTCACTCCTTCAGTCACATGAATAGTTTGTCGCTGCTTATTTGACTTATCAACTACAGAATAAAGGCCAGTGACATCTATGAAAGGTTGGCAAACACCATCTTCTGATGCACCCATCATATCGCTGCTTTCAAAGGAAGTTACCGAGGCAAATGATGCTGAAAGTATAAAAAAAAGAAATCACATAAAGACACTAACCTTAGTGGTTGTGTTTCATTTCATATTTGAATGAAACCACTGTTCTAAAGCCTCACTTAAGGACACTAACCTTACTGTTGTGTTTCATTTCATATTTGAATGAAACCACTGTTCTAAAGCTTCACATAAAGACACTAACCTTACTTGTTGTGTTTCATATTTGAGTGATACCCCTAATCCAATCAAATTTTATGTATTATTAGAAACACAAACTGTACAAAAAACAATTGTTTGTTAATTATGCAGATACCTTGTCTAGAGTGAGCCTTAGCAACAGACTTTAAACTTTCCACAGTCGGAGGTGCTGGTGGAAGCTCGCATCTCTCCGGTTCAATAGAAGCATACATAGAGGAGAATTTCTCGGAGAGCTGACTTGAGTCACGATCAATTTCTTCATACACTTCTTCTTCATCAGGGACCACCATGTAATGCCCATCACTAAATTGGCTTCCAGAAGCCTGAGAATTACAAGGAATGTGAAGTTATTTAATTCACTTAGCGATACGATAAAAATTAAGATAGCTTTTTCATCAAGTCTTTAAATACTTAATTGAATCATTGAATATATTTTGTAAAATACATTAATTGAATAGAAACTATATATCCTACAGCAACTTCTAAAGTTGGAAAAAAAATCACAAACAACTTATTATGATGTTTGTATGAAAATGCAGGATATGGCTGAAACATAGTTAATATTGTTAAATATATGTGTGTGTAGAATTCTTCTCCAAATTGGTTTTTAGAATGGCGATATTATATTATTAATAGAATTAAAGATTAAGTAGCTTTTATTAATTGTAATATACATCCAATAAATTTAACATTTTTTTCAATTTAATACTAAAATCCATAAAATACAGGAAAAACACATTATTGTGCGCATCGATAATTGTAATTGTAACTAATGAGATAGATACTACACAAACTTTTAAATTACAAAATAAATCTAAAGAAGATATTATTAAGAATTTGTTGGAAGCGGTAAAAAATTTGATATTAAATAAAATTTATATTCAAAATTACCATATCTATAACCAATACCTAAATTACGAAAATCTCCCATTAAATTTTGTATTATTTCTAGCATAGTAAAAACTATAGTGAAACAACCTGTAGTTTATTAAGCAAATTAATGAACCACTTTGTTAAATGTGAATAACACTGGTCAATAAAAATCAAACTTTTTTCTCTCATCAAAGATGTAATGAAACTTTTCTAGACCAGTTTTGCACGCTGATTCCAAATCTGCATATCTAGTTATCAAAACACGACTGGTGTTAATTTCAGCACAATTTAGGTAATAATCACACATTAGGCTAGTTAACGTTATACACACCATACATTTGGTTAAATTTATACAGTACACACTTACGAAAAAAAAATGTACAAGAAATTATAATTAAGGCAATAACCTTTCAAATTTGATCGGTCTCATCACTAAAACTTGATGTGCCAGAGGAAAACCAAAAACAGATTTGGAATAAGCATTCCAAGAGATATCTAGCTCACTTATAATTATATCTGAAGGAAATGACTTGTTGGCTAGCGTAATAAGCATAATTTTTGTATAATTGAAAATAACAAGAAATTATAAATAAAACACAATCTACAAACACTACATTACTTACAGCTATACCACTTAATGATTTGATATATTCAATTTATTGACTTATCTATAAAAGTAGAAAAACAAACTTTTACTGTTAATAATATTAAAAACATATTCACTTTTTACTGATATAATAATTATATTCATTTTGATAAGCACATTTATAAACAAAGGTATACTGATAGGGTCTAATTATTCAAGTTGTGTTGCTAATTTAAACTTACAGATACATTAACAATTTAATTAGTATTAATAATCCAGCAATAAGTAATTATATAGGTAACATTTATCCTACAGTTATACAGATTAAGAACACTTATATATCACATACTAAAGTACATTATTTAAACATTAAGATAATTTATAATTATTGTAATATTAATATTTATGGTAAAAGAAATTATTTAACGTTCCTAAATAGTAAATTACCAATAAATTTCCAAGTTTAAAATAGTGGCATCCCCCTTAAAACAGCATAGTTGCCATTGTGGTACACATGGGCTAAAAGGGCCATGTCGCAAACCCTAGTATAGAACTGGTAATTAGAAATAGAGCAGTACACATGGGCTAAAAGGGCCATGTCGCAAACCCTAGTATAGAACTGCTAATTAGAAATAGAGCAGTCAATCAGCAGCACTTGCAGATACTCTTAACTGTACAGCGAGGAGGCTGATTGTCACAGTTACAATGCACTGTGTCACATCTCAACCCACAGTTTGGTTACTGACCCCCAAGACCATGTCCAGCCTTTATTGATTTTAAAGGTCCTTCTTACTCCTTAAAATAATGTAAGCTGAGCTACAAAATGTGCAGTTACGACAGCGGAAGTCACGCGACGCTGGAGTTTTTAGAAGGATCTTGACTTTTCCTGGCAACTCTAGTCTGTTCCAGGCGCCCTCTTTTTTAGTATATAAGCCCGACAAATAAAGCGGAGATATAATGGC